AAGAGCCTCAACTCTAGTAGCTGCTTTCTGGGTACTGAATAACAGCATCGTTATTAATGTTTTTTTACTGAGTCGTGATAACTCGTAAATAACGTCTTCCAGGATGGCTTCTTTAGCCAGGCTCCCGTATTCTTGACCGTTATCAAGGGTAATGTGTTTTGGTTTTTTAGGTGTCATTTCTTTACGTACCCCGCTATTTCGCAAAGCTCTTTAAGTTCTGATGGTTTAATTTGTTTATTCACAGAAACAACAGCGACGCTCAAAAAGAGAGAAACGCAAACAATAAACGTCACGACAATTACTTCGCTACCATCTAATTTCATGATTTATCACCTTCTAGTTCGTTAATAATTGCGTTTAAATGTTTAGCTACACTGGCTAGTTTTTCAACGTCTTTCCAGGTTAGGGTTTCGGGTTCGCGCATGAGGGTCTCTGTGTAAGCCCTACTGACACAAGAGGCGCATGTAAGGCTGTCATTAATGTCAGCAAGGCAGCAACGGATAGCGTTTTTTAAGCGTATGGCTGGTGCAATAAAGTCCAGCCCTTGGGGTATTTCTTTATATGTGTTCATTTTTGTTCCTTTTTTCTGGTTTTAAAACGGTGTTTTAGGTGTTAAGTGTTTCTTTCTAGTAACCGAAACCGACCGCAGTTCGCCGAAGTTGACCGAAGTTAGTACTGCATTTGTTAAAAATGGTTAATAAACTCATTCGTCAACTGCTCGCCGTATTTCTGGATCGACAAGTTCGGAATTTTTAATCATCCACGCTACAATGTCATACCTAAAGTAATAAACAGAATGGCCATTTTTTAGGTGCTTAGGGCCTTTCCCTTGACAACGCCAGACTTTTAAAGTCCCTGGCGTTATACCTAGAATTTTTGCAGCTTCCCTGCTTGTTAATCTTCTCTGTATAGCCATTGTTGATTATTTTCTACTTTAGGTGGTTAATATTGGTTAATAATTGTTAATTGTATATTTATTTCAACATTTAGTCAAACGATTGGTGATTTATGTCGACAAAAATAGGGGAAAGATTAAAAAAAGTCAGAAAAATCAATAGGTTAAGCCAAGAAGAAATGTCGACTATTATGAACATATCAAGACACACTTTAATAAAATACGAAAACGACACATCGTCGCCGAGCATGAGCTTCATAGAGGATTTATGTTCACAGTTTCTTATTGACCCTATTTGGGCATTTACAGGACAAGGCCATGAACCAATTCCTGCAAGCCAGCAAGAATCGGATTTCGCTGTGCCGGCAAACAAGAAACCCACACCCCGTAAAGGGCGGCACGAAGGCAAAGAATTGCGCCTGGCATTAATCAGGGGAAGAGTCGGCCTAGAAGACCTAAAACACTTAACAATGCTGTCAGGGCAAGAGCTTTACGATATGTTTGATTCTGAAACAATATCGCAAGAACATGCAGAAATAATTGAGGCTGCCTTAGGCCGAAACCCATTAACAGACAGGCCGCCTGATTCTTTAAAAGATACGGGTACAGAGGGATGGGGAAATCAAAGAGAATCGGCTTAGTAGTTGATAATACAGGTTTTTTAGAGCAGCGGTTGTTGTTTCAAAAAAGGGGTTCATCCGAAATTGGAATTAATACAGGGTGGCTTGAGCGACAAGAAGCCGCTTGATTAAGATGTTTTATTTATATTCTTTTTAAATGCTCTGTAAATATCCTTGAAAGATTCTTGCAATTTTGTTGCAAGAGATAGAAAAAGTTGCAAGCAAATTGTCCTTTTTGTTGAAAATGTCTAAAAACAGGGACAGATGTTTGCAACTTTTTTTTGTGATTTTTGATTGTTTCATGTTGCTTGAGGCCGCATAAACAGTAGTTAAAACCACCTCTCCCCGTTTAAAACCGCCTCTCCCCACTTTTTTCAAACCTCGTGGCTCCTGACAAGAATAATGCGTAAATTTTAATTTTATGAAGGAGAAGTTTTAACCATGCGGCAGTTTTTAGTTTTAGCTCTTTTAGCATTTATCTCTAGCCTTTATTATCCCGCTATCGTTTGCGCTGAAGCTGTCGTATTAAATTCGAATACCTTAAAAAAACTTGGTATTACCGATGCAAAAGTAGCTCCATTGTTTCCCTTTAAAGAGTTCTATCGAACATCTGATATTCATGATTTTCAGTTTAGGCCAGATAAACAAGGTGTCTATTTTTTAAAATCAGACGGCAAAGTAACAAATATTTTTCAGTATGATTTTGTCACAAAGGATATTATTCAGGTTACACGTTACAGAGAGCCTGTTGGTGCTTACATTGTTGGCCCTCAAGGTAAACGATTATATATTCAGAAAGATATTGGTGGTGATGAGGTCTATGATCTCTATGAATTTGATTTAGAGTCTAGAAAAACGCGCTTAATTACTCAAGAAGAGAATATGAGAGGTGAGAGTAGTTATCTTTGTGACTTAAGTGTTGATGGTAAAAAACTCTATTTTTTCTCTCAGGGTATGCAGCGTATTTTTTATTCTGATATTAAAATTTTTGATACAACCACACAGAGTATACAGACGATTGTTAAAGGAGATAATGAGGTTCTTTATTGTGGGGGCTTAGATCAAGATAATAAGTATCTCGCATTTGCAAAATATATTGATAATAATGAGCACCATATAGGATATATAGATCTCAAAACCAATACGCCTAATTATATTCTTGCTGAAGCAGGAGTTGCTAATAGTTTGGGCGTTTTTGATTCTTCACATTCTTTGCTTTTTAGTAGTACAAAAGATTCAGATATTCATCGTATTTGGTCGTACAACTTTGTTGATAAACGTTTGCAATTGTTACCAGTACCTATACCGTATGATGTTACTGGTTTTGGTCTTTATGCACAGGGAACCCTTTCTGTTCTTTCTTACCGAGGACAATTGGCAGAAAAGACTAAAATTTATTCTGGGCAATTTCAGCAAGAAATTACATTACCTTTTAATGAGGGGGTTATTAAAGGGGCAATGTTTGATCAAAAGAATCCAGATTTAGGTATTGTTGCTGTGCAAACTGGGGTTGCACCTCTTAAGTATTATTTGCTATCTGGCAATAATAAGACACTTATTTATGATGCGAATCAGTCAAAAATAGATAGCAAGTATTTTTCTCAATCTTTTTCATTATTTGTTAATAGTTTCGATGGCATACAGGTGCCCGTACATTACTTTATTCCTAACGGAACATCAGCATCTATAAAAAGGCCTGTTATCTTTTTGATTCATGGTGGTCCAGAAGATCATATTGATCCTATTTATTCGCCTACAATTCAATATTTTGTTAACAATGGATATCTTGTTGTCGCGCCCAATGTTCGTGGGAGTACCGGATTTGGTAAAGCCTATCAGTTTATGGATAATGGCGATTGGGGTGGTGGACATATTAAAGATATCGTTGCTGTTGCACATTTTACACAGACCTTAGATTTTGTACTGTCTGACAAGATGATGATAGCTGGTGGTAGCTTTGGCGGTTTTAGCGTGATGTCATTAATCACACAATACCCTACTTTATTTCAAGCAGCTGTTGATCTTTTTGGTCCTATTGAATTTTCGTTTTTTTTGGAGGGGTGGCCACCGCAGATACAACAGTTTTGGTTAACAGAATTAGGAGCTGATCCTCGACAAGACCAAGCATTTAATAAACAGGTTTCTCCACTATACCATTTAGACAAAGTTCAAATTCCTCTCCAAGTTCATCAAGGTGCAAATGATAGCCGGGTCCCTAAGTCTCAATCTGACAAACTTGTTGCAGGTTTAAGAGCACGCAATATTCCTGTAGATTATTTTGTTTACCGTGGAGAAGGACACGGGTTTAGCAAATTTAAGAATGAAAAGAAGTGTTATACAAGAATTATCAAATTTGCTAATTCTTATTTACGTGACTAGTTATCTCGCTAGCAAAATTTTTAGTTTAATTTGGTAACTGTTTTAAGTTTACTCTTGTATCTGTTTTGTGTCGCTTAAGGTTATTTAACCTTAGATTGACATAAGTCAGAAATTGCCCGAAGTTCTTGGATAATTTTATTTAGATTTTCACTTGGAGGGGCTATTACCTGTTTTTGGCCTAAGACCTTTTTTGCGCCTTGATCAGTATAACCTTTGTCATAGAGTAGTGTTTTAATTGTCTGAATTTTTTGGATATCTTTTTGGCGGTAGAGTCGCTGTTTGCCAATACCTTTTTTAGGTTTTAGCTGAGGGAATTAACATTACCAAAAGCGTAGTACATGGGTAGGTACATCTACTAATTTACTAATTTCTCCAATACGATAGAATAGTTTTTCAGTTGTCAACGTAAACCTTATTCTAAATGTGGGTTCATGCGCCGTTTTAGTCTTTCACTTGGGCGAAATGTAACAACGTGACGTTCTGGAATGGGAACTGCTTCTTTAGTTCTTGGATTGCGCCCAATACGTGGTTTACGTGTGACTACTTCAAAGACGCCAAAATTACTAAGGCTTACAGGACGATGTTGTTCTAATTCGCTAACCATTTTATCTAAGATAAAAGTTGTCCAATGCTCTGCTTCACGTCCAGGAAGTCCAAATTTTTCTTGGAGTGCGTCTGCTAAGTCTTGCCTTGTTAGACTCATAGTTTTATCTACCTAACAATATCAAAGTGAAAATTTTGTATTAAAACCCTCTGTAAATCTACTATAATCTACTATGCTCTGTCGTGTCTAATGTTTTACTTTTAAGCAACGACTTAACGTATACAACCCCAGGACTATTACTGCATTTGATATAAGCATATTGCAGACATTTATGTTATTGCTTAAAGTTTAATTAGAAATCGTAGTCTACCGGATTAAGTAAACAAAGTAACATCATACACAAACGTATAGAGCCGGTTCAATATTTATGCAGCACAACAGGTTTTCTATGTTTCAATCATTGGCAGCTACTAGTCAATCTGGGCTCTATCTTTTATTTGACCCTCGTACGCGTTTAGATTGGTTGGATATACTTCGGGATTTACATCTGTTAGGTATTGGTATGTTTCAGTTACGTGCTAAAGGAGCGAAGACACTAGATTTACAATATTGGCTTGAAGATGCTCGCCAAGTTTTAGGTGATGCGTGTCTAACCATTAATGACCTACCATCATTAGCTCTTGGCAATTGTGTTGATGGTGTCCATCTTGGACCTGATGATATGTTGCCACAAACAGCTCGTTTACATATTGGCTACCAAAAGATTATTGGTCTTAGTGGCGATGATGCTTTACGACTTGCGGGGCCAGTTGCTCAGCAAGCTGATTATTTTGGTGTTGGTACATTTCGACAAACAGCTACAAAACCAAATGCTGGTAAACCAATTGGTCTTAAAGGTTTAAAGAAAGCGGTGACATTAACAAAAAAACCAATTTTTGCTATTGGTGGTATCGTCCCAGCGGATGCGGGAGCTATACGTTCTACAGGTGCTTTTGGTATGGCAATTTATTCTGCAATTTGGTCGGCACCAGATCCTATTCAGGTAGCTAAAGAATTTATTCATAATTGGCAACAGGCATCTTGATACGTAGGTGCAGTATCAAACCTTGGTAGACATAATTACTAATAATCTGATGAACAAAAATAAACAGTTACCTATTGCTTGTAGTATTGCTGGTAGTGATTCTTGTGGTGGTGCTGGTATACAAGCTGATTTACGTACCTTTGCCTTACACGGAGTCCATGGTGCTTCTGTCGTTACAGCCTTAACAGCCCAAAATACATTACAGGTTTGTGATATTCAGATTTGTGATGTTGATTTTGTTGTAACTCAATTGAAGGCAGTTGTAACAGATCTTTCCATTCAGGTTTTTAAAACAGGTATGCTCGCCAATTCTGCCATTGTCGAAGCAGTTGCTTTATTGTTGACAGATATCCCAGATTTACAACTTGTGCTTGATCCTGTTATGGTTTCGACATCTGGCCAGGAACTTTATGAGTTTCAGGGGATAGATTTATTACAAAGAAAATTGTTTCCTCTTGCAACCATTGTGACTCCTAATATTGCGGAGGCCGAACAGTTGCTGGGCCAAAATATTGTATTAACAGAGCAAGCTATTGAAGATGCCGCGCGACGTCTTTACGATCGTTTTGGTACTGCTGTTTTATTAAAAGGTGGTCATTCCTTGGGGGCTGCCAATGATGTTTTGGTTACAGAACACAGTGTTCAATGGCTACAAGCAGATCGGATTATGTTAGGCGTAACACATGGCACAGGTTGCCATTTATCTGCTGCGATTACGGCACGCCTTGCTTTAGGAGAATCTCTAGTTGATGCGGTTTATGGCGCTAAATATTGGTTAACAGATGCCCTTAAACGATCAGTTCCTATTGGGCAGGGAGGTGTGTCTCCTTGGCCCCAGTCTATATTCTTACTTAGTACGCTACAGTAAGATTTTGAACATTATAATCATTTAGATATCGAGTATGTTATGAATTATATTTCTATTTATATCCGAGTAGTGGATGCCATTAGTGAACGTTTAGGCAATGTTGTCTCTTGGTTAACTACAGTTCTTGTGATTCTTGTTTGTACAAATGTTGCCCTTAGATATCTTGGCGGGCGTAGTCTTTTGTTGTTGCAAGACCTTTCTTGGTATCTTTTTGGCGCGCTTTTTTTGTTAGGAGCTGGGTTTACATTTAAACATAATCGACATGTACGTGTTGATGTGTTTTATAGCCAGTTCTCGACTAAAACTCAAGCTTGGATAGATATTTTTGGTCTTGTTGTATGTTTGTTACCGTTTTGTGTTTTAGGCATTGTGATGTCATTTGATTTTGTAACCCATTCATTTTTAATTCGCGAAACATCGCCAGACCCTGGTGGCTTGCCCGCACGTTACCTTGCTAAAGCTTGTATCCCAATTGGTTTTTTATTATTGTTTTTGCAAGCATTAGCAGAAGCAGGAAGACGTTTTTTAGAACTTCGTACGCAAGCTATTGATGGTAACCGGTAACTTATATGTTAGGCCTTATTTTATTTGTTGTTGTGTTGTTGACACTCCTTCTTGGTTTTCCTGTGGCGTTTACTTTAGGAGGTGTTTCGACACTCTATGGATTTGCTGTTTTTGGCAGTTCTTTTTTTGAGTTTTTGCCTTTACGTATTTGGGGGATTGTCAATAATCAACTTTTAATTGCGGTGCCATTATTTGTTTATATGGGTGTTATGTTAGAGCGCTCTGGTCTAGCCGAAGACTTATTAGAAACAATGGCGTTATTATTTGGGCGTCTACGAGGAGGTTTAGCAATCTCAGTTGTTGTTGTTGGTACGTTACTTGCCGCATCAACAGGTATTGTTGGAGCTACTGTTGTTACGATGGGGTTACTTAGTTTGCCGACAATGCTTAAGCGTGGGTATCGTACTGAGTTAGCAGCTGGTACGATTGCAGCTTCTGGAACATTAGGGCAGATTATACCACCTAGTATCGTACTAGTTCTGCTTGGTAGTGTTCTCAATGTTGCTGTCGGTGATATGTTTATTGGAGCAGTTATTCCTGGTTTATTACTTGTTTCTCTTTATCTCATTTGGATTATTGTTATTGCTATTGTGCAGCCGGACTCTGCACCGGCGATGCCTGAGCAATCCGTGATTGCTTTTAGAAAACAGCAAATGTGGCGTCGAACAGTCGGTGCCTTTTTAGCACCTATATTACTTATTGTTGCGGTGCTTGGGTCTATTTTTGCAGGTATTGCCTCACCAACAGAAGCTGCAGCTGTTGGGGCTTTGGGGGCCACTGTATTGACAATGCTACAGAGGCGATTTTCTAAAGAGACGCTAGATGCAGTGATGCGTGAGACTACTTTTTTGACCTGTATGGTCTTTTTAATTCTTGTTGGAGCATCTGCATTTAGTCTTGTATTTCGTGGTTTAGGCGGTGATGTCTATTTGGCAGATTTGGTTGTACAGGCCAATTTATCACCTTATGTTTTTTTGGCTCTGTTTATGTTTGTAGTTTTTGTTGCTGGTTTTTTTATTGACTTTATCGAGATAACATTTATCCTTGTTCCTGTTGCTGTTCCTGTTTTGCAAATGATGGGATTAGATTTACTATGGGTAGGTGTTTTAATTGCCATCAATCTGCAAACATCTTTTTTGACACCTCCTTTTGGTTTTTCCTTATTTTATTTAAAAGGTGTAGCTCCTGAGCAAGTTTCTACGAAACAGATTTATCGTGGTATTTTGCCTTTTGTTGTCATTCAACTATTTGCACTGTTACTAGTTTGGTTTATTCCAGAGTCTGTTACCTGTTTACCTGAATATCTTATTCGAGATGTAGCAGTTAGTGACTTACGTTGCTGGGAGCACTAATAGTTCTGTAGGCAATTATTAAGAGTCATTTAAGTTCTTAATCTATTTTGTATCCCTAAAACAGGGATTAGCTAGACTTTAAGGATAAAATGTAGTGTGTTGTAATTTGTCTAGAAGGTTATACAGATAGTCTTTGTCTTAAAGCTTGATAAAGGGAAGGCGTGAAGGATGCTAAATAAATATTTGCCAGTGTTAGTAGTCTTGTCTCTATTGTCTTTTTCTCTGCTTGGCTGTTCTGTGGAACACGAGGTGCCAATAGAAACGGTACGTATTCAAACAGCTAAAGATTGTTTTGAACGGGCAGATTATGATTGTGTTCAGAAGCAGTTAGAGCTTCTTGTGGCTAATAATGAGCAGTTGCGTGCAGAGAAATATGTTGGTTTGGCATTAGCTGAACTTGGCATTTGGCTAACAGATGTTGGTGCGACGATTGTTAAAATTGCTGAATTAGTTCAGGAGACAACAGATTCTGGTAGCAAAAGGCAAGTTCGGTTACTTACCGATGAACTTGTTGGTAATACAATTATCAACCGGTTGGTCTATACGATTTTGATTACAGATTATGAACGTTTGTTAAAGGTAATCAGTGCATTTGAGACAGCAATCCATCAACAGCAAGATTTTGTTGTTGAGTATCCTGGGTTATTATTTAAAATTGGCAAAATACCTCTTGTTCTCTTTTCTGGTCAGGTTAAGCAAGCAGAGCTTTTATTATTAAAAAGCTTATTGCATTTTGCTACAGCTGTGTTGTCGCTTGTCTTAGCAACTGATTTTGAGATTCCTCTTGCAGACCTAATTGATTATGGACGTAGTCTAGAAGTTTGTAATGCCGAGCATACTATTAATGGCACTAGCCGATGTGCTCGGCAGCTAGCTGCATTTGCTATTCATAATAGTGAGCGAGCTTTACGTCCTCAACTCAATCGTGGTGATCATTTTCGTATGTTAGCAGCTAAGCAGTTGACAGCTTTTTTTGCAGAGACCGATCGCTTTTTTACTTCGTTACGTCAACGTTCTGCAGTTCAATCAGAGGAAACTACACAGCATATTATTACCTGGCAAGATAGGTTGTCAGGTGGTGGTTGGGTTCGACTACGATTTTCAGAGGTCTTACTTAAGGAGCACACAATTCAAGATCTCTTACAGGATCGTTCACAAGTTCTTGAGATTCAAGAATACTTAGAGCAGCAAACCGTACGCTTTATGGTAGAACCTAGTTTTTTAGTCTCTGCTCTTCACGCTGCAACACATTTTGAATTAGGTGAGCCGGCATTTTTAGGAGTCACCGAAGCTGTGTTGCCGGTATTGACAATGGGGGCAGAAATTTTACTACAAACTGATGTTATGGTATCACTGCTTAAGATTATTCTTGCTGGAATCGACTCTAATTTTAGTATTCTACTTACAGATTTGTTATCACAGTTACAGACTCTTTATACAAATAACCAAACTGCTGACGCTGTACATAATTTATTTCATGATGTTTTTCCAGCTAGCGCGGAGCTAAATCTACGCAAGGTTTTACATCATTCTGAATATTGGCGTGTTTTTTTGCCAGATGCTGTGACGACAGGTACCTTTTATCAAGAAAAGCCTATTTGGCAGTGGTTAATCGAGTGGGAGTGTGAGCAACATTTAATTGATGTCGTTTCTTGTCCTACAACTGTTCCTTTAATAGATCAAGCACATTTTATTGGCCGTGGAACTGAGTTAGCTGCTGATGGCGTTTCCAGTGAGATTGGTTATGTCTCTTATCAAGATCCTTCTCTTGGTGGAACGCTACGGTTTGATCCTTCAGAGTTAGATTCTAATTTTGCTCAGGGTGTTACATTTCCAGATTTACAGCAACTTAATTTGTTACAGCAGCATATTGGGCGCAAACTTATACAACGTCTAGCAATTGATTAATTCATACGCTTTTTTTTAGATATCTTATCTATTGAGATATCTAAGTAGGCGAAGTGACATGAATTGACATCATAAATAATGTTAATTCATGGACTATATTAGCTAAGATATTCTTAGCGTGTTGCTAAGGTTACTATGAAAATATTTAAAAAGATTATAAAAAAAATTATTGGTGAAAAGATTCTAGGTTGGATAGATTTTTTTAGATATCCAAATATGAGATATAGTTGGGGTGGTCCGTTTAATGGCCAGAAGTTTAGACAGCTTGTTATGATAGATGATTTTTTGGTTCCTAATACCTGCTATGGTTTTGATACTTACGCAAATGGAAAAATGCTAGATCTTACATATATTGATCCACTAATAGCAATATACAAATTGGCTGTCTTTTTTCCTAGTGTGGACCCCTCTCAAGAGACAGGGATGAAACGAGGGTGTGTTGTCCTTTGCAGAGACCGACTAGGAGTCGAACTACAAGCAAAAGTTAAGACATTAGTTGGTGGTATATCTTGCTATCATAATACAAATGAAATCCGATAAGATGAGAAAGATAAGACTAGGGTTGATGTCTAGATGGCAAGTCTGTTTAAGTATGCATAAAAGTAGATATTTATTGTTAAAGGTTGATTATTTGTAATGACAAAAATATATCTTATTCGTCATGGCCAAGCGTCTTTTGGACAGGCTAATTATGATCAGTTGTCAGAGCTTGGCTATGAGCAAGCCAGGTGTCTTGGGCAGCGTTTTGTCGACTATGTGACGCCAGACCGCGTTTTGATGGGTAGTTTAGAGCGACACCGACAGACATGGATGTCATTTCAAGAAGGATACAAAGAACCATTAATGACAGCTGAGATACAAAGCGGTTTTAACGAGTTTGATCATGAAGATATTTTGTATACAGCCTTTCCTGAGTTTAAAGACCGTGCGGCAATGGCCTCTAAACTGATGACATTTGAAAACCCGATGCAAGCTTTTGAAGATTTATACCTTTCGGCTGTGATGCGTTGGGTCTCTGGGCAGCATGATGACTATAAAGAAAATTGGCAGTTATTCTGTCAGCGCTGTGAGGATGCATTACAAGCAACGTTGCAATCTAATAATGGTGCAAAAGAGATTCTTGTATTTACATCTGGTGGTACAATTGCAGCTATTTTACGTTATGTTTTAGGTCTTTCTAAACAGGCTACTATTGATTTAACACAATGTCTTGTTAATTCAGGTGTGACATGTTTACTTGATCAGGGAGATCGACTATGTGTATCTTATCTCAATTCCTTTAGTCATCTAGAGCAGAATCCTAAACATATTACTCTCAAGTAGGGCTGTGAGCAGCAGCTAGTTATATTTTTCTGCTGAGATTTGATATTGACATCTAAGTATCTGTTTGAATGGCGTTGTAAAAGGCGCGTTCAGATACGTTACTCCAAGGAGTAATATCGCGTTGAAATTGTGTGAATGATGTATAAATTTTTTGACTCTGTGGATCATTTTTAACAACACTTGCAATAGTGTCTTGTGCAATTTGTTTTAAGGCCGTCATGACGATTTTTGGGAAGGGCGTAATTTTAATTTGTTTTTCTTGGCTTAGCTTTTTTAGATAGAGACTATTTTGTGTGTCAAACCGGGCAAGCATCCATGTATTTAAGGATTGAGCTACAGTTTGGATAATTGCTTGTAAATCTTGATCTAAAGAGTCGAAAGCACGTTTATTGATAATTAATTCTAAAACGCTTCCAGGTTCGTGCCAACCAGGATAGTAATAATGTTTTGCTATTTTATGGAAGCCCATTAGGTAATCGTGGTATGGGCCAAGCCATTCAGTGGCATCAATAATGCCGCGTTCTAGACTGGTATAAATTTCTCCTCCTGGTAGGAGTTCGGGTGAAGCTCCTGCTTCGGAAAGAACTTTGCCACCTAAGCCAGGTATTCGTATTTTTAAGCCTTTAAAATCTGTTAGGGTATTGATTTCTTTGTTGAACCATCCTCCCATTTGTACGCCGCTATTCCCAGCTGGTATCGGAATTAGTCCAAAGGGGGCATATAGTTCTTCCCAGAGTTGTAAACCATTGCCTGAATAGAGCCAGGCATACATTTGTTGAGCATTGAGACCAAAAGGTACGGAGGTGAAAAATTGGGCTGCCTTTATTTTTCCTGCCCAATAGTAAGCTGCCCCATGTCCCATTTCAGCGGTGCCTTGGCGAACGGCATCAAAGGTTTCTAAAGGTGGAGCAATTCACCACCCGCATAGACTTGAATATTCAAGCGTCCACCTGATAATGTTCGGACTTGGTCTGCAAATCTTTTAATACCATCAGAAAAAATAGGTAGATTGGGGGGCCAGGTTGTAACAAGTTTCCATGTATATGTTTTTTGGGTCTGTTTAAGAGGGGGAGAAGATGTAAGAGTCTCTTGTCCTGAGCGGCTGCAAGCAGTAATAGCACTTCCTGCTAACGTCGCTAATGAAGCTGTTTTAAGAAATGTTCTACGGTCTTTTTTTGGTGTTGTCATGGATGTTTTTCCTTTAACTTTTATCTATAGCGGCAAAAATACTGTAGGCTGCTGTACCTTGAGCAACTAGAGTTTCTGTATCGTTTGTCACTTTGATATCTGTAACAACAATACGGCTACCTTTACGGATGACCTGTCCTGTTCCTATAAAATGTTTTCCGCGTGCAGGTTTTAGAAAGTCAATGCGCATATCGATTGTATTAACGCCACCTTCCTCTGCTGTATCTAACACAGAAAATGCAGCAGCTGCTCCTGCTGTGTCTATTAGAGTTGCTAGGATACCGCCATGCAAAACTTTTTTTGTAGTGTCTCCAATAAAGGTGTCGCAATATGGCATTGTAATTAAGGCTTTTCCCCATTCTAAGTGGTCCAGTTTAAATTTTAAATGTTGGCTAAACGGGATACCTTCGTTAAAAAATGTTTTGATA